AGTCAAATAGCCTTCTGCGCCACCTCTGTCTCTGCTTTTTTTCTCCTCGATCTTTTGCCCACTCACTCTTTTCCTTTAACGTTCAAGCTTTTCAACCCTGTTCTCAAGCTTATTCTGCTACTCTTCTCATCTTCTCTGGCTTTTCTCCTGGACGCTGGGCAAGAAACCTCTTGCGTAAACGTCGCATACGCATTGACCATTCATGTTCAATAACACTGCATACGTTTCATTCAGACATATTAGTATTGAGGTAGGAAAAAAAAGATGAAATGTTTGTTTCCAAATTGGATGATTTTGTCATTTCGATTTGACCTTTCTCACCAACTGCAGTTAATGCTCTGAGCGATGAACATAAAGAATTGATCTATGAATAGATTCAGTGTTTAGCTACAATGAACAAATACCTCATAGTGTCAGATCTATTCCTCTCCCTCCCACTGTCTCCCTCCTGTCTGCCTCTCTCTCTCTCTCTCTCTCTCTCTCTCTCTCTCTCTGAGGGCTGAGTGGAGTGAGGACGAAGGTTTTGACTCCGTTTATCAACTGGAGGAATCGATGACTTCACAAAAGCTTAGCATCAGTCACTTGATGGAGAATAATACATAATAAAGCAGTCTCTCTTAATGTCTGATAAAGAGTAGATTCTTCATCCTGATGAATTGATGGTCATTAGCTTCTAGGGAGTTAATTCTATACCGGAGAGACACACAAACATTACTGCTGTGTTTGTCTTGAGATCAACACAAATACCAGCCAGTATCTGGGCTGAGCTGCTGCAGGCCACAACTTGTGTGTGTGTGCGTGTGTGTGTGTGTGCTACTTGGGCAATAAGAATGCAGGTGTTCAGGGTGACGCTGCCGCTCTTACTACACCTGATTCTTAGATAGTTGCTGCATTTCAGCAAACGCCGGGCAGTGAGTCCTGTGTGCAGTACACACTGTGTGATTGTTTCTTATTTGAGCTGGTATTAATCTTGGACGGCCAGGTAAGAAACACACACACACACACACGCACACACTCTCGCTGAGAACAGGGAGCACTGCAGAGCGATCTTTAGGATGACAGAGACAAATTTAATGAAGGTTAAAACAACACGGAGAAAGACGGTCGATAGTCTGCGGGGGGGGGAGAAGAAGAGAGATGAGGGGATCAAGGTAGTCGAGCCAAGTTGCGCCTCTCTGTTATCAATCCTGTAATTTGTCTCACACAGGTTGTCAGTGTGTCTTCACTCTCATCAGTACATCTGGAATTGAATTGAAAAGCTTGAGGATGTTTGCATTTTTTTTTTTTTTTTTTTTTTTGCTTCTAACTTGTTTTCTACCTCCTCTTCAGACCTCTGCTTTTAATCTGTCTGATGTATGAGCTGTTCCTCTGGAGTGCACACACACACACACACACACACACACACACACACACACACTGCTGATTTGATTGCGGTGTTCATCAGCCATCACACTTTTCACTTGCTCTGTCTCGAAGGCCGACGACACTTAACCAACCCTGGAAGAAAAACAAAAACAAAATTTGGAGAGATGCTTGCACTTGGGCTCTCTGTTGCCGTAGTAACCAATAGGCTCACCTGTTGCCAACAGTTTCGCATCCTTAAAAGGAAAATAAGCAAAGAGAAGAGCCATAAAGGGTTGCAAAGGAAATTCAGGGTTCAAAGAAGAAACACAGCTTCTCCACTTGAAGACGATGAATAGTTCTAGCTGAAGATAACCGGATGCCACTCAAATGACAAACGTCTTTTTTTCTTTTTTTCCTCCTTTGGTTTCGAAATGTTACGACTTTGAGTGGATCATTGCCCGTCAAAGCGATGAGCAATGACCAGGAATCATGCAAAAAAGATTTTGGAATAGAAAAGGCACTCTCTTTCTTTTTATTTTTTATAATTGATACCTTTTAAATCTTCTTTAATATCTTCAATATTATTTTCACATGTCCGCAAACTCCTGTTTTGCTTGACACAAGCAGCAAGAAGCAGAAGTGTGCAAATAACATTTTGTAACATTTTGATGCCTTCAGGTGCAGTGTAAACGTGGGAATTATTGTATGCAGAAATACTCCCTGTGTGATAAATCTGTCTTAATGTTTGGCCTTTTTTCTCACAAGCTAAAAAGTAATAAGTCAGAACAGTTTATCTCCTGACAGGTTGTCGATGGTTAGCGTTATAGCTTACGGTCAAAGTGCACGATCATCTGGAGGACAAAGCCAGCTGAAGAAAAGAAGCAAAGTGCTGAGGACAAAGGTTAACACAGTGCGTTATGATGTTGATCTTTTATCCACTTTGTGCTCTTTATCCTGTAATATGTCCAGGATTAGCTGTAACCAAAGAGCTTTCAGCTTGTGTATGAAAATTCAGCCGTGTCCATGTGACGCCTGAGAATGAGTCATGTTTCCAGCCCTTATTACCTGAAGACTGTTAATGTGTTTCCTGCTGTTCAGGTGCAGCAAAACGCAGCAATCACATCCACGGCGAATCAGATGAAAAGGCTCTCCATTCGAGGGCCGCTGTTACAATCGCTCCACTTTCTCCCACTGTTATTCTTCCACAGTTTAAGGGGAGCTTTTAAACCAGCGTGGAAGAGATCTCAGACAGTCACCCTTCTGGAGGCGCTCTCTCTCTCTCTCTCTCTCTCTCTCTCTCTCTCTCTCTCTCTCTCTCTCTCTCTCAAAAAGCAGCATTAGTGACATTTTCAGACTTAGATTGTCTCATGGAAGGTTCTCAGCCAACGTTATGTAATTGTTTCATGTAGAAATGTGGATGTGTCATGAAGAGGCAGCTGACACACAGTGACAGGAGACCGTGCGTGTGTGTGTGCGTGTGTGTGTGCGTGTGTGTGTGCGTGTGTGTGTGCGTGTGTGTGTGTGTGTGTGTGTGTGTGTGTGTGTGTGTGTGTGTGTGTGTTTGGAAGGGGGAGTCACATGGAGTTCTTATTACGTGACAACTTTGATTACAGGGATGTAGTGTTTCCATTTAAGGCAGTGTGGACAGGAATTGTATCTATGTATTCTACTGACCATTAGGTTGTGAGAGTGTGTGTGTGTGTGTGTGTGTGTGTGTGTGTGTGTGTGTTTAATAGTGTCTGTGTGTGATTCTGATCAGTGGTGAGATTGTTTACATGGCCGTGTACACGATCTAGACACACAGTGACAGGAAGCAGAGGGAAAGAGATCTGTGCTTGACTCACTAACACTTACTTTACATTCCAGCTGAATCCTGCAGGTTTCAGACGTGTGTGTTTGTGTTTTTGCAGGTCAGGGAGAATGAACTTCCAATTCATGGTCAACGGTCACATTGTTTGGTCATGTTCTAGTTCTTTGTATAACAACTGCAGTAAGGTTCAGACAAGTGTTATTTTCTTTACTGTCCAACCTATTGGTCTCTGTTCATTTCTGTACAGAATGATTGCTCTATTATTAAGAATGTTTTCCACCAAATTGAAAAAAAGGAATATCCGGCAATGTAGATGCTTTATTGTCCATTCAAAATCCAGAAAGATGTGTAAACTAATCTAAAAACCAGAATTCTTCATAGAAGAAAACAGCAAAAGCTAACGACACAAAGACCCGTTTTAGTAAAAGCCAAGCCATGTTTAAAAAGTCTGTTCATTTAGAATCAGACAGTGCAAAGGTCGGCCTGTTATGAATGGAAAACCTCACCAGAAAACTCATTGGAAGCATATCTCCAGTCACCATCTCCAGACATCACTTATCCTGATCACGTTAGACATGGTTGAACTTTTGTAGCCTACAACCTCGTCCGTGCAGCTGTGCAGCTGTAGTCACACTTCTCCATAACGACAAAGACAACCAGTTATCAAGAACTTCCCAAGACCCATCCCTAATAGATTTATTATTACAAACAACCCCTATCATTAGCACCGTGATGATCTGAAGTCTTTCATGTGAAATCCACAATCTACTACGCTTAGTTTACATCTTTCTGTTCCTTTGTCTTTCATCTCCACCCGTTTGCTTTTCCTACTCCTGCCTGTCATGTTGTTTTGTTTTTTTACACCTCTACTTATCACTCCAACTCCATATGTTTTGCATTTATTCAACACTTTGTATTTGATACTATACATGAATAAGAGCAGGACTGTTTCCTCCCAAAGGGCCTACGCTACAATCTGAATCTACCTGGAACATAATGTTCGTCGTTCAGTGAAGATCACGAGTGTGAGAGTGGAACATGTGTAATAAATAATCGAGGCAGAATAGGAATAAATAATGTACCTCTTGTTTTGCACCTTGTATCCCAAGAAAAGGAATCGTTTTAACATTCAGTACACTTGTTGGGCCCGCGGGTGTGACTTGTTTTCCGATGTGAGCATAAGCATACACAAGCTGACAGGTAGTCAGGCAGACACACACACACACACACACACACACACTAGTCACACTAGAAAAAAAAACAGATTAGGTATCAAAAAAGCTTTCAGCGACTTTTCTTTCACCTCATTGATCACAGACAGCTAGCGGGCATGAAAGCATTCCCTCAAATAAATAAAAAAATCAATGGTGTAAAAATGTCTGCCCCATGACTTCATGCATACATGCACAAGATCAGACACCCGAACACACGTTTGCAGACAGACAGTGAAGGAGCAGACGTTTAAAATCCAAGTCAGGAGGTCTTTTACTTTTCCTCGGAGAAACAAACATCTTTTTAAACGAGGAGGCAGAAGACGTCTTACCTCGTTTTTTAATCCTCTTATTTGCAGCTTTGCTTGTTTTGCAGTTTTTTAAGTTTTTAAGCCCCATTCCTTCCTGCGACCCCCCCCCCCCTCTACGCTGCTGTGTGCTTATCCCTCAGCTCTACACTTTTAAATATGATTGTGTGTTGTTGTTTGTTTGTGAGTGTACCTTTCTCATTTCCATCTCCTTGCAGAGTAAATTCATTAGTATGTATCTTTGTTGTGACAGGAGATTTTTATGCAAATCTGTGTGATTTAATCCTAATCAGTCAACGTTTGGTTGTGTTTGTGTTCTCCCTGCAGACGACGGGCCGTACCAGCGGGACCAGCCCCCTCCTCCTCCTCCTCCTCCTCCTTCTCTCTGCTCTTCCTCCACATCCAACGCTCTGCTGGAGGATCGAAGGAAAAGCCACATCCCAGAGGAGTTTGCCGGACTCCTTCATGGATCTTCCCCTGCCTGTGAAACCCCTGAAACGCCTTATCATCTGTACAACCCAAAACCTCGCAAATATGCCCCCGCAGACGTCCGGAGCAGCCTGCTGCAGAGCCCCGAGTTCAGCGTCGTGATCGGAGGAGGCCCCACCACCCAGGTCACTTCCAGGACAGAGAGCGAGTCCTCGCCTCAGAGTAGTGCTCACGACCCGCAGAAGCCACAGGTGGTGTACAGAACTGTCTTTCACACAACCGTCAACCAGGACCAGTCCAAAACCAAGAAGCAGCTGGACCAACCTCGAGGCTGGTCTACGCTGGACCGCCCCCCATCTTCATACTCTGATCAAAACGGGGAAGTTCCAGAGTCACGGGGCGTCCGCACAGGAGGTGTGCCCAAAGGCGGTGCGTCAGGAGCCGGCTCCGAAGAGAGGGCCTGCACCCTGGGGAGGATGAGGTCCATGCCCCGCAGCGTGTTAGACCTGCAGCTCTCCAAGTCTTTGTCCAAGTCTGATTCCAACCTAGTAGCTGTGTCTCCCATACAGGTTAGACTGTAACCGCTCATAGAACCCTTTATTTTTCATTTTCTTCTAAAATGACGCTCTCTCTCATTCTGTGATCAAAGCTTTAACGAGAGCATGATTTATAAAATAGAATCCAGATTTTTTGGTGCATTATGAAGCCGAGTTCAAACTTTAAACGCTCTTTTTTTCTCTGATACTGGCTCGCTCTTCTGAGCGTTTATGTAAGAGTCCAAGGATGACACAACAGTCTCTTTCAGTAGAAGTCAAGTTCAAAAGTTTCTCTTGAAGTTGAGGTCAGCACAGAGATCCCAGCCAGCAAGAAAAAAATGAATGTATTGTAGATAATGCGTAGTATGAATTATGCAGCTGTGGAGGTAGTTTGCATCCTGCTGCATTATGCAAATTCACTTCATAAACAGACAAGAAAACAGTCCAGCCAATTAGATAACTCCCTAATCCGGGCCACACGGCTCCCTGCTGTGATCCGCAGCCTATGAGACTTCTTCTTTTCATTAACAGTAAATAAGTCATGCGTTAAATACATAGTCTGTTTGATGAAAAATGCTTCATGAACTTTGATGAACAGTGAAAGCTTTTCTTTAAACTTTTTTTTTAAAGATCTGGTTAACAATCTGGTTGCGAGTTATATTTTATTTGGGGGGATGTGTTTCAAATCTTGACCAGGAGGAGCACAGCTGGGGGTCTGGATCCCGTGGCCAGGGGCCTGGCAGTCCTAGCCCAGGAGAGGGGGCTAGTCCTGGGGCGAGACTGGAAAGAACACCCTCCTTCACTGCAGAATGGGAAGAGGTAAGAAGAAATGTTCCAGAGATGTTTAGGATACATTTTGTTATTAAAGGAGGAGCAAAGGAGTCACATTTGGAGAAAATCACATAAACATGTCATCTTTTTATTACCGTCTGATGAAAACCAGCAACCACTAAAAATTAGATGCTTTAACTTCTCAGTCTTTGAAACCTACTCTACATACGACAGTGCAGAAGGAGCCTCAGTGTTCATTTCACATGCTTCCACATTGAACTTGCTCTGTGCACAGCGGTGGAGCTGCAGGGTATAAGAGAGAAGGCACTTTGTCTTATAGAGCGTAGAGGTCAGAGGTGCTGCTGTGTGTCGGTGTGTTTGTGTTGGGGGCTTCTTCTGTATCAAAGGGTCTCTGACACAGACGTGACCCGCCGACTGGACTCCGCTGCTCATCCTCATGCCTTTATAAACACTTAGGTCACAGACGTATTAGCCTCTGCTCATTGGTTATCATTCACACAACTTTAGGACACTGATGCGTCTGAGCCTGAATATTCAAGAAATCCGACAACTATACAGTTCATCATATTGGAATAATTAGGATGGTAATCAGCCTCGCTCTATTTCCGAAATAATGCTAATGCAAGTACATTTGTGCATGCTTGTCCACATTTGCATGTGCATGTTCATTAGGCACTCAGCGTAGCTCATAACTTGCTGATGGTGATGAATTACCATATGGAATTTGCCATCATTCTTAGCAATTAAGGTGACCTTTCCTGTGTAATTGCATGCTCGGGGAGGATGAGATAAGATGGCTTCAGGGAAATAGTGGAGCGATATATATATGGAGACGTCAGAGGAAAAAATAACTAAGTCGCTCTATTCGCAGCACATGTTCAGGAAAGAGTTAGCAAGAGGGAAATCACAAGGGACGTCCCACAACAGACAACCATCTCAAGATATCCATTCTCTCATTAGTACAGGAATAATTAAGGTGTGTTGTGTACGTTACAAATGTGCGCTTTAATCCGGCTTTAGTTTAAAAACTGCTGAAGTGTTCCACTTGAGTTGTAAATTATCAGCCTGAAGCAAAATATTAGTGAAAAAGATTATGATTTATTTACCATCAAAGATGTATTTAATTGAACAAAACGACATGGATTGCAGATCACTTAATTGGTCTTTCAAGTTCATAACAACTTGGCTCTTATGTCGTAGTGCAGAAGTGCGGTGAACATGATCAGTACTCTGACTTTTAGTTGAAGCAAAGAAAATGCATCAGATTATAGAGAAAAGATGATGGGTGTCTGATCATCAGACTTTAGTGATATCACTATATTTCAACATCTCCAATTAAGTTTTAACTGTAGGATTGATGACCAATGTTACAAATGTTAAGAACCTAGTTTAAGTCAAGCAAAATAATTCATTTAATCAAGAAATAGATGCTGCTGTGTTTAAGAATTAGCTCAATGAGCCACACATGTAATTATAAGCTTACATAACAAGCAGACTGTTTTTGTCACTTCTAAAAGCCAAAAAAACTCAACAGCAAGATTACAAGAAGACCCAGTGTCCAGTTTTTGTACGAGTCGGTCTGTTACATCTGCTCAATAATGAATAATGGAGCAGCTTAAGAGCTGGAGCATTGGCTCTCATGAAAACTATAGAGAAAAGGATTGTAGACTTGTAAAGTGGCATTGGCAAAGCTTGAAGTTTGGGGATTCAACCTTGTGGCCAAAGCGGGCCACCTACATGCAATACTTGGTTGCCAGACAGAAACTTTTTGTGCCAACAGACATGAAGCCATGATTTATGCCAAAGCCTGATCAATAAATCCATAACATGACTTTATTTTTCTTATTATGTATTTGCTTTGTGTAAAAATGTCCATTACTGCATCTTCATTGGCGTCTCTTTTGTAATCAACACACACAGATCATTTCCCACTGAAGCACTATGAGTTGGATATAAAGAAGTGATATGTTTGCTGTGACATGCAGAAATGGGTGTTTTAAGTTAAGGTCACCTTCACGGCGTGCCAGCTTGTAAACACAGTTTGCATTTGTCAGACCTGGCCCTTTAAACACCGGTCTCAACCGGCTCACAGCCAGGCCAGATACTGTGTGACCTGTGGTGAGCCAGCGGCCCTGACAGGTGGATGGATGTGCAGGTCTTATAGTTCAGTGGTTAGCAGCAGGTCCAGGGTCAGTGATGAGCGGTCAACAGCCAGCAGCCCGACACTAATGAACTAGCTCCTTTCAATCCAGCCTTCGTCTCTCCTCCCCTTTTCTTCAGATTCACACTAACATCTCCTTTCTGTTCCACCTCTGCTCCTTCATGCTTTTCAATTCACAGGGGAAAGACTGACATCCAGCGCGCCTGCTGCCGTAATGATCATGTTATGTGACACTTGAATCCAGAAATAGGGGTTAGCCTTATTACTGGGAAATGACTTTCCCTTGCGCTAGCTGAACATCTCTCTAACTCTTGCTTGTGTCTGTCTCTCGCTCTTCCATTGGTCCAGATCGACAAGATCATGAGCTCCATCGGGGCGGGGATAGGCAGCGGATTGGACATCAAGGGCAACGCCTCAGGTAAAGGAAACACAAGCACTCATGATCAAACTGAATCTGGTTAAGACAAATTCATTTCTTATAGTTGCATATCATTATTGTAGATTATTGTAACATTGTACCCTCGAAAAGCGGCCACTAAAATCTAATATTGGTCCAATAGACATGTGCAACATTTGACAATAGATCAAAAGTAGAAATTGCTCTTTTTTCAAGAGGCTGAGAGAGCACAGTCAAAGAGTGCAGTGGGCAGCTGCTGTCAGTGCCTTAGGGATCTGGAGTTGCATTGACTGCAGTAATATTAGAGAGATGAAACAGGTGAGGTTGTAAATCATCCTTGATTGACAGGAAGCCCCTTTGAGCATGTCCTGTTGAGTCTATTGATTAATTACTGAGAGGAGGAACCCCAGAGGAAGAGGGATGATTACTCTGTCAAACTCGTACTTAATGTTTGTTTTATTAGAACATTGAGGATTGGTAGCCAAACGTATGAAAATAAGACCTTAATTACAATAAAACCAGAATGTTCCTTTCGATTGTTTCAGTGTGTGGGTGTGATTATGTTTGATGACTTCTTTATGTGCATCAAATCCTTATTTTTACCCGTTCTTCTCACCTTCTTATGAGTCCTCCTTTGCTTAACTGTGTTCATCCGCCCTCCCGGCATAAACACCCCCATACTCCACCTCTGATCTCCTCCCCTCCTCCCTCTCTCTTCTCATCCATAAAAGCAAAGCCTCTCCTAACCATGGTTACCACTGGGAGAAATCCTGTTTGTGCCAAAGATGCTTCCCCACAACCAACTCACACACACACACACACAAACACTTCATACAGCTGCGGCTGCATGCATACCCTCAGAGTAGTGTGTGTGCATGTGTGTGCATGTGTGTGTGTGTGTGTGTGTGTGCATGTGTGTGTGTGTGAGTGGGACAGAGAGAGAAAGAGTGGGAGGGATCTTGGCTTCTTGCAGACAAAGACACTGAAGCTGCTGTGATGGCTATTATCGGCAGTGCGAGCCAGATATATGTAGAGGGAGCAGGGTGACGATCGACACCCTGACAGAAGACAAGAGACGAAAGGTAGACGGAGAAGAGAGAGCGAGTGAGGGAATGAGGGAGGAAAGCAGCGCTCGGAGAGAGAGAAGAGAGAGAGGGAGAGAGAGAGAGGAGGCTGCAGGAGCATACAGATGAGAGTGGGAGTACTTGATAAAGAGAAATCTACAGCGCATGCAGCTCTCGCTCTTTCTCTCTCTCACTCTCTCTCTTTTAGACACACACACTTGCAAACACACACACACACACGCGCGCGGAAGGGAGCAGCCAAGCGAGCGCAACAGCTGAAAAAGAAAGCGGCTGCTCTGCTGTGCGCGACAAACACACAGCTGCTTTCCGCTTGCGGATCTATACCTCCAGTCTTCTCCAGCAGCCATGGCTGGCAGGATTTAACCCCAGGACAGACGCTCTTTTCTGGATACAACTTCAGACTTCCCCCTTTTCATCCTCCCATCAGGCTGGATTCAAAGGAAACATCTGGACGCCTTCTCTTTACCTGCTTGCACCCTTGCATGCTGACCCCCTCTCTCCTCACCATGCCTTTAGTCTAGCCTCCCTCCACCTCCACCTCCACCTTTTCCTCCTCCTTCTCTTTCCCCTCTTTACCTGCATCCCCTTCTCTTCTCTCCTCCCCCCCCCCCCCCCCCCTCCTTACCCCATCCCCCTCTGGCAGCCTTGCCAAAAGACTTCCCCTAAAGCATGGCGGGCTCCTTCGACAGCCACTTTGCCCGCCAGAACATGATGTGGCAGTGCCAGCTGTCTCAGCCGGACTGCCGCTGCTACCGCGTGGATGGCTACTCCCTACTGAAACGTTTGCCCCTCCACCCCCTCATAGGTCCCCGCTGCCCTCTGCAGTCCGTGGGCCAGTGGCTCGACTCCATCGGCCTGGTCCAGTACGAGAACCACCTGCTGGCCAATGGATTTGACAACGTCCAGTTTATGGTGAGTGAGTGTTTTGTCAGGTGTTTGTGGGTTAAAGAAAAGACAAAAATGCGTCTTGCTGCTTTAAGTTTTTGAGCTTCATCCATTTCCTTCCTTTTCTTTTTTGTCTTTGCTTTGGCTCTTTACCGATGCTTTAAATGTAATCTCTTCTTTTTGTTTGTCCACCTCCCACTAAGCTCTCTCTCTGCTCCCCTAGGTGCAGCTCATCATCTCTAATCATCTCCTTTGCAGTGATTAGTGTGACTAGTCTTTCTCTTTCTACTCTGATTTATTTTATTTTTTTAGCTTATTAGATTTCCGCCTCTTTGCATCATTTTCTCTCTCTCTCTCTCTCTCCGTCTTTCTCTCCCATCGTCCCTGCCTCTCCCAAATGATGCCATGTGAGGTCCTCCTACGCACAGAAATCCTACGCCACATCTCCAGCATCAAGCTGCAGACATGCATGCACTCAGCACACTTAATGCTGCAACAGAAAAACCCAGCTTGTTTCATAGTTTTGAACCTTTTCTTCAACAGTAACACACACTGGAATGAAACCACCTGTAGCCTGTGGATTTAGAAGAGCCTGACTCTCTCTTTTATCTGTCGTTCCCTTCATCCTCAGTGACGTCGAGAGACTCACACTGGGTCATCCTGCAGCCAGAAACTCTTTTGATGTTTGTGTGGGTGTGCTGGTAGGAGTTAAAGCCACAGGAAAATAGAAAAGTAAATCGATAATAAATGAGCAGAAAGCAAATAGCAAATAGAGAGAAACTGCAGCAGAGGCAGAAAGAGAGGAGACAGGCTGTACCGAGCAGAGAGATGCTGACTGGAGGAGTTTATGTGGAGTTTAAAATCGTCTCTGTTAGGTAATAACGTCACATCTCAAAGAGATATTTGTTATGGTTAATCCAAAGGGTTTAACAGCCAACATGACAAAAGTGCAAAGAACATCTCATGAGCTAGTAGAAGAGAGTGAGTTTTCTATGCCGGACATCATCATCATCATCTCTGTGACGTCATTCTAACAACAAAAGTCACTTCCTGAAAGACAAAAATGATGATCGTCACATTGTTGTCATTCCTAATGCTCACTGTAGCATTTCCAGACGTACAGTAACACACGGGTTGAAGATCTGTGATGTTACTTATAGGCTGTTTTTAATGTCTGTGTTGCTTTGCAAGCATCTTTGCTGAACCAAATCCATCAACACCATCTTTCCACCATCAGTCAGGCTAACGTCAACAAAGATTCTGACCAAACAAGAAACATCAACTAAAGTAACCGACCTGCTGATATACTGTGTGATACTTTGTGATCATAGACACTCGTTATGAAATCACAGTGTCCCTTTGCATATCATTTTTTAGTAGAATTTAAAGAAGAAAGCATTGGTTTGTTAGCCTCAGAGGCTGTTTACACCTTGCAACAACATCCATTTTTGGGTTATCGAGTGGTTAGCCTTGATGTTTGGTGTTGACGGACCCCTAATGCATCCTGAGGGCGGATTGAGATCAGCTCAGACCACATACAGAGGACGCACGCCTTCGTCGACATTGGTTTGCGAGTGTAAACGCTCATGCGTCCGGGGCGGCATGCAGGATCACCCCCTCGACTGTGAGAACAATGCTGCCTCCTGCCTGGTGTAAAGGCGATGCATTAAGTCTTTTTAAACGGCTGGACGCTTGTTTGCATGTCAGAAAGGAAAGTGAGTTCTGTTCTGAAGTAGTCAATGCAGACGGATTGTTAATGCAATGTTTAAACACCCGTACTTAAGTGCAGTCTACTCGATCATTCATGATGGATTTTAATGCAAAATGTAACATAAACACTAAACAGCCTTTCCGTGCTCTACTGTGAGTAAAGTTAGCCTTCCTAAGTCCCCCCTTTTCAGACACCAAATCCAGAGATTTTACTTCAAAGCTTCTACTTTTGTGCAAGTTTGCTTTTTATGTAAAACCTTCCAAACACAAACTCAAAGTCTACAATGTTCCAGTCCTTCTATACGTCACATTGTCCCAGTGAGAGAAAGCTGCTGGCTGCTTTTACTGTTTAGTTATGCCAGTAAGACTTCCAGATTAGAGGAGGGGATGCAGTTTCATGTCCTTTCTGACCCACCAATAACATTTGGAGGCTGTCAATATCTAAGTGTGTAAAATGTGTGTGCGTTCTGGTCCTCCGCTCAGTGTGACCTGCATCTGAACGTTTGGTTACCCTGGCAACAGGGAAATCACATAAAATCTCTCTGTTTCTTCTCTTAGTGTGTTTCTCCCCACACGTGGTCAGTGTGTGTCTCTGTTTTCAGTCCGTTCCACAATAATCCTTATCTTTCAGTTCTATCAATTCATTGGTTTTTGGTATATTAAGAAACTTGCCATTTTGTGTTTGTGTTGTGTGTGTCGTTCATTATCGGTCAGCATCTTTACTCGTCAACATTGAAACATCTCAGATCTCTGCGGAAGTTAATTGTGATGTTCCACATGAACCAGTCCCAGACTGTGACCAACACATCATCATGCAAACCTCATCAGTACTCTCTCCTGCTTCCTTTCCTCGCCTTTACATTTTGCAGTCCTCTTCCTTATTCCGTCCTGTTTTTCCTAATGTAAGCATGATGTGTGATCTAAAACAAGGTGCCAGACTTATTTTATAATACATCAAATGCATGCATTAAAATGTGGTGACGTTAACAGCACATGGTTAAAAACAGTTGTCTTTACTGTATTAAGGTGTAATGGCAAACATAAAAGCAAACTGCAACCTCTTAACAAACCTAACAGACGTGTAAGTATCCACAGTCGTAGTCGGCTAGTTGCTGAACAAAGAGGCCTTTTTGGGGTGTAAACGACGCTGATAAACGTGGTGCAACTTAAACAACAGAACAAATGCAGACTGTAGAAGTGAAACAATAAGCTCTAAGGGGGGAAAACTCAGTAGAGCTTTATCCAACAATATTAATGTTGCCAATTATTTTAAAGTAATTCATTTCAAGTCAGATTAAATGTGTACTGTAAGTGGCTGCAATAATGTTGATGTGTTCAGAGATGTCCCTCTGCTTTGTTTACATTGGGTCACATCTCGTTTTCTTCAGGGGGAAAAGAATCAGTGGAGGTATGAAGCATTCAAGCAGCTGAGTGAGAGTCCAGGAAACAGTTAATGTTATTAAATCTACGATGTATTTCCTCTACTTCTGTATTTTAGTTATATCCCTACATGAACCCCCCCATTCATTCACTTCTACTCCATCCTTTCAGACTAATACACACAACGACACACACACACACTCATAACTTCTTAACATATCCCGCTCTCGTTTGCGCCTCGTTTTAACGTGCCTAACAGCTTATGCCAGTGCTTCTGAGAGATTTGGGGATTCTCTTTAGTCCTGGTCTCACCCCTCTTGTCTAAAAGCGTTACTCAATAGCTCAGTCGTCTCCTTTGTAATGCCTCTGGATACAATTAATATTGAAAAGGGCTGAGATTCGAAAAGCCTAGCAAACATCAGTGTGACTTCAAAGTCCCTTTTGTGACTGTGTCTGTCTCACTGGGTCTTCTCTCTGTTTCAAGTTTTTCTCCTGGAGTCCCTCTCGCTGAGTGGAGTTTCTAACCTCTGTTTTCTTTTTCCGTGACTAAAGAGATGGAAAGTCAATCTTTTGAGACCTTGGAAAAGCTCTTGGTGGCAACCACAAATTGATATTAATGCAGTGGGTGCGCAGGCCACAGGGAGTAGATCAGCGTTTGCGGCGCTCTGTTTGATTGCAGATTCAAGGAGAGGTTCGGGTCACGTTCACTTCAGCAGCACTCAGTGTGGGAACATCAAGTTAGATGGCAGATTCAACCTGAAACAAGTCAGCGCAACCGAAAATGAAAGCTTCTTTTTTTCCATCTCAGGGCTAGTTCAAGTCGGTCTGTAGGACTGATTGGTTTGCAAATGAATTTGACCTCAAGTCAGATCTGTATCCGTGTGCAGCAGCAAAAAGGGCGGCCCTGTGTCTTTGCAGGAATTTATGCAGCTATGCACTTATCAACATGGACCAATCCACCATCAACGTTTACTGCTAATGGGGGTCATTACAGGGGGTGTGTCCACTCACCTTTATCAGCCGGTAGAGGACAAGTGCTGCAAGACTGATGGACCAACAGGAATGGGGCGGACCGGTTGTTATGGTGACGGTGTTTGATATGAAGGACACTAGATGGAGACCAATCATGCAGCTTTTAAATGACTGTGTACACATGCTCAAGTGTTAAAACGAGAGATAGAGGACATGAAGAGAGATCTTATCATGTGAGTAGACTGTTTATACATAAAGACCAAACAGCATGACACTGACTGAACCCAGAAGCTGCAACTGAGCACAAAGAGAGCCTTGGATGCAAATCAGCTTTCTAGCTAACATTGTTTAAGAAATAAACAAAACAAAAGGCAAGGGCCAACTCAAGTCAGTTTTCTTTCCAGTACAGCTAACCTGATAGTTGGCTGTAAGTCAGGCGAAAGGCAGAGTGTTAGAGATTTGTCTTTATTTCCAAAAAAAGTAAATAAACAATAAACGATGAAAAATGACACAGAGCAACATAAGCATTTATTGAAAGTTTTATTTCTGGTAAGCCAAAGAATATAAGTCTAATAATAATCACAATCTGTCTAATCAGCTGCTAAATGCTTCACTTTGTTCACCATCTAGTCAGTCCTTTTGTCTGTTCTCGTTTGGGGCTATGCAGGTAGGATGGCCTGAGCGTACACATGCTTCCTGTAGCGGTTGGAAAGGACACTGATGAGAGCTCCATGGCTCTGTTGAGTTGTAGTGACATACACTTAGTGATAATTATCTGTTCTTATGGACTGTTTGACCCATTGTGTTCATGAAAACTTCAATTATGTCTGCTTGAAGGAGCCACAGTCAATATATTTTGTGTATTCAGGATCATATTGTGGGCCAACAAGCTAATGTAATGCTGTAGCTGTAATCAGCTTTTACTTCAAGTTTTCTTTGATGATCAGGTAGTTACTAATTTAGCCTACTTGTTGTTTGGTACTTTTGTTGTTGTTTGGTAGAAGACTTTGCTCTAAAAACAGTCAGGAAGCAATTCTGATGAGAGCAGTGAGACTGAACCAAAACACAAGAAACGTTTAGGCAATGTTTTGTTCTGATAACGTTGCCAATGTGTTTGTTGTCATTTATCTTGATTGAAAAACAAGACATTACCCAACATCTGCTGCCCAGGACTTCTGTTTTTGTTTCCATGGAAGTGGAAACACAGGTAGTGATGTTGTCTGATCTTTTTTTTTTTTTTTTTTTTTTTACTCGTTTCATTTTTAAGTTTAAAATTCTGGTGACAAGCTTAGTGGCTTCAAATGCGTCCAATCAAAGGAAAAACTATTGCCCGTGATTCAAAGCCGCTTGTCAAGTTTGTGCGTGTTCAGAATCACTTAATGGCTGATGTTCTGCATCTTTATGAGACGTTAAGTGTGTAGCAAAGAGCCCATTCACCTTGGTGAGTCCTCAGACAGCCGGCACACTGTCCCTGTTAACACTCGGCATTACCCTCAAACATGCACGCACGCCTCACGACACAACGCGCGAGACTCCCGAAGAAGTGTGACCGGAATGAGAAAGGATGAGTGTTTCAAAACCCCTCCTGGAGCAACAGGTGAAAGGATCGTGTGCAGAGCTCTTTTATCGTCATCGTCCTGTTTCATTCGGTTTCAGGCAGCAAAGTGACACAAAGTAAAGTTAGAAGCTGTATTATGAAGACAAAGGTGGAGCGGGGTAAGTCTCTAGATGAAATCAGAGAAATGAATTGGGGCACAAAGCCAGAAAGAAAACAGAAATGAAGAGATAACGCTCGATGCCGTGTGGCAGGAACCAAAGGAACTGGAGCTGATAAGAGTCAGACAGGGGAAATTAATTTGACCCAACTGTTCCCCCAGACAGAGGAAACAACAATATTTGAAATGAAATATTGTTTGCATCCATATTCCTTCTAAAAGAGGGACCTCTAATCTGCGTCAAAGAGGAATTCATTATTCAGGGGGAGAAATTCTTCTGAGTATCACGCTGCCAAGAAGTTAGAGAAACCTAAGACACTGCCTTTGCACATGTGCCAAAGAAAGATAAATGCAGCACTAACAACTTTGAAAAGAATCAGAAAATAATTTAAGTAAGGGACTAAAAGAGCAGACGAGGACAGAGAATGGAGGAATAGATGAGACGAGGACGACTTCTTTGATTACAGAGAAAGGCAGAAAAATAAGAGAAAAAAGGGGGCGAGGGATGAATCCAGGCAGAAGAGACTCAGTAGGCCAGGGATGATTTTTTTTTTGTGCTCCTCTAAGCTTGTTGGGGTTGATAATGGCCTTCACTTCTATCACTGAATATAAACTTTGATTCCCTTCTCCAGTATTGCCTCAACCCCCTGCCGCTCCGCTTGAATTTTAATTCCCGGCGCTCAGAGCGTTTGTGACCCACTGCAGAGATGATTTAAGTGCTGAGGTCCAGCTATCACGAGCTAACCACAGGACATGGACGTATTATTGACTGTGTGGCGGCTTAACACCTTCCCCCTCAGGTAAAAATGGATTGTTAGTGTCCACTCAAGTGTCATCAACTCACATGCAACGTGCAGTAATAGTGATTTCTTCAATACAATAAACAATGTATCAGATATCAGGAGGAGAAATCTAAGCCAAGAAAGCAGAGTCATTAATCCTCAGTCGAGTGATATTGATGAGTCGGTGCAATATTTATCCCCTGATCCATCATACGCACCTAGAGGTGGCAGATATGAGACAAACATAATGTTACGACACAAAGGGAAACAAGATGAGACAGCTTTGGAGAAAGAGAGAACAAACGTGAAGGAACTCTATCTCTTTCTGTCAGGATCTCAACAGGGAGCAATTAGTCATTTCTCCGGATCCCTCCTCCCCCCCTTTTACTCCACGACTCATTACTCTGCTGTGAAGCTGTAGCGCGGTTACTCTGGGCTCTATTAATCAGCCTGGGAGCTGATCTGTGAGCTCCCCACTCTTCTCAGAGGCGCCCCGGTCAGCGTTCAGGTTGGAGGAGGAGAATAAAGGAAGGAATAAGTTTAGCCACAGGACGAGTCCAATCAGCCGCTGCCTCAGGATTCACCCACAGTGCAGGGACAGACTAATAGAGCCCTGGAGACAGGTTTTCTTCTAACAAGCCTGCAGCAGAAGCAGCACTCAGTTTAAAGGGGATTTGCTGTCCAAATTTTGGAGGTATCTTAAAAATCTACTTGTGTAGAGTTTGGCTCTCCAAGAGAAGAAGCTCAAAGAAGCTAACCTGAAGCATGGATTCACTCTTTAAGAAGCGCTGCCACATTGCTCAGCTTAATGATAATATCATGATCCAGCAATTCTGTGATTATTGATGTTTTTCTAATTAAAATATGGATATTTGGCCCCAGCGTTGAGATAGTTGTCATACGAGTCAGGATAAAGATGGATTGTCTTATTGATATTTTTTGCCACTCCCAGCATCGTAGGTTTCGCAACATTGGTGAAGACCACAACTTTTTCCAACCTTCTTTGAAACGGAAATGAAGGCTTTAACTACTTCTTCCTGAGTTATCTTGACATTTCCTTTCAGCTAACTCCATGTTTGATATTTTAGTCTCTTGTCAGCTCATGACCATTTTGTAAACTGGGCCGGTTCGTGTCATTAGAGTGCAAGTGTCAGGAAAATGAAATGTGTGAGGATCCAAAAGCTTAGCCTTACAGATCCGCAGTCTTAAACGTAAAGCCACTCGAACACAGATTGCTCCAGCTTAAGTTCTTCAGGGTGCTGCGTTGAAAACTAAACCTCCGCTTATCTAGAATTAAAATGTCACAGCCTCGGAGCAAAATGTCTTTCTTTTTTTTAGAAGGCGTGAGGGCCTCAGAGTCGACTCAGAAGGAGAGTTTAGGAAGGAAAAAGCACAGGTCTGATATCTACCTGCATTTCCTGTAGTGTCTCCTCGATGTTTATCAGTTAATAGTTCTACAGGAGGGAGATGTGGAGGGACTGGCAGGTGTAATCCTTCAATGTAAAGTGTTTAGGTGAGTGGATGTGGATGTGTAGATGGCCCTGAGACTTCCTCCAGGCTGCTCACACACACACACACACTCTCTTTCCTGCCGATGTTTCTTCACCATCATTTGGAGATGAACTTGCCTCACTGCACACTTCTGTCTCACCGTATTTTTAATTAATTTCTGACTGAGATGATCTTTCTCTATGCACACCACATCTCATCCCATCTCTCCATGAGTCCCATCCTTCCTGCCATTATCTGTCTGTAGGCACACTTTCTTATTCTAACTCTCAGGAGGGGGGTGGCTGATAGATCTCTTTAGGTGTCCCATTGGATTAATTAAAGGTGAAACGCAGAAAGATAGCTACACAGACTGTTGCACAGCCGAGTCTAGAATAAAAAATATCAAACATGTCTTCTACTTCTTTTTTTGTTTGCGCCTGATGTATCAAAACCTCCCTTTCTCTTCTAAGTTGTTTCTTCTCTGATATGCTTTTTTATGCCTTGTTCTTTGGAAACTAATGATTTTATGACGCCTGTTTGGGAGACAGTTTTGCAACCTGCCAGTATTGACAGTCCAAGGTGGCAATTTGTGCCAGTGTAGTTGTGTCTAAAGATCTGTACTTATCAGTGAGCAGGGTAATCTGAGCAGCTACAAAATCATAAGTGGATTTAGAGGAAATCTTTGCTTTTCAAACGGTACAATTATTGATTTGAGGTTAACTCTTTTGTGATCAAGTAGTAAACAACAAATGTAAGTGAAGCAGTAGGAAACAGCATGAGACATTGAAAATGGTGCAACCAAAAAGTTAACTTGAATTTCAGGAAAGGATAAAAAACTGGGTATTGCATTAGGGTGGTCCTTTATAAAGTGTTTGTGGTTTACTTAAATAAGCCCAATAATTTCCTACTGAAGATTTTGTGCAATTGTCCTACATAGAGTCATACCAAACACCTGCAGACGCTGTTGCATTGTTAGATTCTGCAGAAATACTAACATAGCTGTTGTTTTTCTTCTTCTTCAGGGCAGCAATGTGGTGGAGGACCAGGACCTGCTGGAGATCGGCATTCTTAACTCGGCCCACAGACAGCGCCTCCTGCAGGCCATACGGCTGCTGCCTCGGGTGAGAACTGCAGCTGATCAATACCCTGAGAGAATGTGAAGTAAATCTCAGCTTTCCAATCTCAATGCACGAGATAGAAGGTCTCAAGTGAACGCTGTCATACAATTAAAAAAAATAGGTTTTTAATTCCAGTTTCAGTTGTATAGTCAACACAGTACACTAGTGCTGATCTTTTAGCTGCAGCCAATCAAGTTTGTTTTTCCAAACCTCCATCTCCATCTGTGAGATAGAACTCTCTCTGTGGATTTGCTGGATTTCTCTCTGCATGTTCTGCACGATACTTCAACAAAGTGCCAATGAGTTTGGGGATTCAGGAAAACATGCTCTAAGCTACAGAGCACAGCATCCAATCCTCATCGAGATCAGCGATGCAAAGGAACTGTTCACACAGCGCTGCGTCTTCTGTAGTGCATCTGTGAAACTCGGTTATAAAAATACAGAGAAATGCTTTGAAAGAAGCAAATGGTTTATAAATGATTTAAAGAATACATGCTTATATAAAAGTTTCAGCAATGTCAAATGCTTTTTCGTGTGTGTGTGTGCAAGCCTAAAAAGTAAGATCAAAGGTGTGTGACTGCATGGAGAGAGAGCAAAAAAAAAAAGGAGTCTGCAAAAAAGAGGATGGAGAGCTCAGAGAAAAGCTGTTTTTTTTATTCAAACACCCCACTAACTTTGATCTTCAGTCAGCACTCTCCTTTTCTCACCCTCCTTTAACTTTCCTAAACACTCTATAAAACATAAACTCTTAACTTGAGTCTGCCCTCACACATGTAGGCTAACATGCGGTTTGTCTGAAGAGCTGTAAACTTTCTGAAGCTGTTTTGACTGTCTGAATATAAGTGAATGAACGATGAGTTATCTTGTCCCTGCTGTCACGTCCTATTTTGACTTTTCTTAAAAGTTATATGTGTACAAATATGTTAGCAGTGTGTGATTTAAAGTTAGTATGTTGCTGTAAAGTTGTGTCCTATTATGAAAAAAGTCTAAATATGTCTGTTTCCTCATGCATCCTTCTGAACTGGGGATGTATTCACTACATATATATTCATATAACTTACATTTTTAATGGACCTCATGTTTAAACTAGAATGTTGGAGCATAATAAAGACAGAAAGTGCAGCACATCAATTATAGTGTAAATAAATAGGATTCACACAGCTGCCATGTTATATAAGAAATAGGCCGTAACATAGTTGGCATTTGTACACAGTGTACCTAACGATCCCAGCTGCTCTGTGCAATAAAGCTCCAGGTTAAAAGAAGTGTGGCATATGGGTGGGGAAATAAAAAAAAACACATCTATCCATACATTTCTGAAAGTAGGTCATAAAACCTGTAGAGCATTGAGCATGTAGAGATATCCTCAACATTCACAGTCTACTAAAAAAAAAACAAGAAAGCGAAGAGGAGCCTTCTCCCTAATTCTTCTTCCTCTCTGTCTGGATGAAGGTGCGACCTGTCGGCTACGATGGAAACAACCCCACGTCGGTGGCCGAGTGGCTGGAGTCGTTGGAGCTCGGCGACTACACAAAGTCTTTCCTTATCAACGGCTACACGTCCATGGAGCTGGTCAAGAAGATCTGGGAGATCGAGCTCATCAATGTGAGTCGACTGTTTATTTCCTCTTCCGTCTTTGATGTGCACTCATCCAAATGATTCCTCCTAAGTGCAAAGTGAGTGCTCTTTGATATTCAATCTGTTTCTCATAGCCAACAAATACCATAAAAAGACCAAAGTATCATCTGCATATAAAAATCTTGATATATATATTTTAGCAATATGTGCAACAAGCGTCCATTGTCATTCACATTTAAAAAAAATAAAGACACAAACGAGACTCACTGTGGCTTTGGTTGACGTCAGACATTGCTGTTTAAAGTGAATCTTTAAGAGCCCAGTCTGGTTTCTGTTTAATGTACCAAAAATGAATAAATCAATGGCTGAAAAATAATCTCCAGCAGCAGCTCGATACTTACTGCTCTGCCTGGATGCTTTAAGAAATGACTGACCTTTATTTAAAAACTGAAACCAAATATATTCCTCCTTTGTTAAAGGGAAACTTCACATCATATTTACATGATTTTATAGCTTTTATACAACCACAGCACATGTCTTCATGGTGGTTGTTACTGTATTTTATGATAAAAGGGAGACACAGGGATTCAGCAGGCAGCATGAATATTGAAATATGCTGTTGAGTTGCATCATGGGAAATGTAGTACTATACAAAGGGTTTATTGAGTTTGACCCCCACAAAAGGACTAAAAGTTATGGATGCTTTGCTTCTTCTGCTTTCATATCGATCAGTATTTTAAAATGTTTCTCTGATCTACCTCCTGACTTTCTGAAATTGAAAAACAAAAATAGCTTGAATTGTTGTTCACTACAAAAAACAACAAGGTCTGGGTCGAGTGACAGGAAAGTATTGAGACCCAAACTCGTAAATGTTTTGGACTGCGGTGGCTCAAGCTGGGCCTCAGAATGCTTGTTGTTTTCTGTTGTCATCTCTCACCTTAGTGACATGCCCGATCTGTTTCTCCAGCTCGATTTATCACATCAGATACCTCAGACATCAGACACACACACACACACACACACACACACACACACACACACTTTGTGCATTTGGCTTCATATCAACAAAGTCTAAAGTCAATGTGAAAGTTTTTCCGGTAGGAGCCATGCTGAGGCCATACTGTGAAGAATGCCCATCAGGCATTTCTGCTCATTACTGAGCAATGTGTGCTTTGAATACAAACAGGAAGGAGTAGATTATATCATAACAGCATCTTTTACTTTATTTCACTTCTGGACATAAAAGTCTTGCTGTAGAGATTTGTGGTTTCATATTTGCAGGTAAGTCATTTGCAGCTGCGTTCCCTTGATTGAATTCTCTCCTTCTGTAAATATCAGTAAAGGCAGGCGTTAACAAGGCTTGACATTTGAGCTCCAATGTTGTCACAAGAAGCAGAGGTTTGTGATTCAATTTTTAGCAACGTGAAATCTTCAGCGGAGTCGGGATTTGCTGCAGTCTGATCTCATCGCGGTGATTTGCTCCTTTGATGCTCCGAGGGTAATGAAATCATGTCGGATTGCTGAGGGTGCTCGATGAGCGCCAGAGAGGAGAGAAGGAGTGTTTTTCTTCCCCATCGGAGGATAAAGCGATAAAGTGATGAGTGATCAGCTGGAGGAGGTGGAGAGGGAGTTATATAAGCATGTGGGATGCAAGATGTTTCACAACGCTGGGGATGCCGCCCACATGCTGTGCTTCTGCGTGTGTGTGTGTGTGTGTGTGTGTGTGTGCGTGCGTTTCTGGATGCATATGTGAGAGGTAGAAGGTGTAAAATGGTTTTGTGTTTAAATGTGTCATTTTCAAACACAGCATACTGTACATCAACCTCATCTCAATTATAGAAAACAGAAGAGCCTTCAAATCTGAATGATGAACACATGGAGTATGTGATGCATTTACAAAACACTCCTCCTTTTCTATCAGACCTGCATGTGTCTGAACTTAAAAATACTGCATAACATGAGGAATTCCACTTCATAAGGAATCTACATACTGAGCGTTGCCTCACTGCAGTGCTGATTGAAGCCACTAGAGGCCGCTAACAATACATTTATCTCAGCATCCCTCAAAGACTTCCATGATGTAGAGTTCAGGTGTCTCCAAACTTTGTCCATATTTTCCATTGATTTCAGACAGATGTCATGATTGTTTGTGTGAAAGGATGAATGTGTGTGTGTCTGCTATACAAGCTGCTCTGATGACTGTGTACCCCTGCAGCTGTACACTGTCACTGTCATAAGGGGGGGGGGGGGGGAACAGAACAATGAGTCAAAACAGAAATTTGGCTGCTTTCATGTAATCGCTAGATTATCGCTACGGGCAACAGATGCTGGCTGTGGTGTCCAGGGAGACGAGGGTGGAGCGTTAAGCACTGTTGGAACATTATAAAATTGAGGTATACAAGAGTGTGTGTGTGTGTGTGTGTGTGTGTCCTTTTTACGGGGCACATATGTGCAGGCCTGCTGTTGTGGGATTGGAGGAGAATCTCAAAACACCTTTTAATCCTGCCTGTTCACATTAAATCACACACACACACTCACACACACACACAGACACACACACAGTAGACTGACTCATCTGCGTCACTTCTGGTCCAGGTTAACTTTGACCTTTTAGTCCCCAGGAAGGATATCAACGAGCTCTGTGATTTCTTTTATCTCATTTGAACCTTTTGAATCATTATGTTTAAGAGTTAGGATCACATGCTTTTAAAAACAGACTTATTGGTTTAAATGATGCCTACAGGTCAAATGAATACAGTTTGAGCAGTGTAAATATATCCACTATGGTTCATCTTATTGTTGGAGTTCTGTTCTGCATTCCTTCATGTCAGATTGTAAACTGTGTGTGAGAGAGAGAAACCGTTTTGAAGCGTGTTGCTCTTCAGAGAGCCCCCTCATTTCCCCCTGACTCAGACTCACCTCAGCTCATTCAGCGAGCTGTGTCAGGAACTTGAAAATGTAATCATGACAAGACAGAATGTCTCTATCAGCCTGCTTTTAATATCTCAAGTCTCCTGGTGAAAACCCGACAGCTTGTCTCAAGGCTAATTTACTGTCATAAGCTGAGAAGCTCTGGGAACAGGATAAAGACTTGTTTGGGATATTAACTTGTGAATATTTAAAACAAGCATTACTGTCAATATGGTTAGTCTGAAGCAGGAAGAAAGACATGATTTATAGCAGGAAGATTTAAAAGAACTACATCTTTGTAACAAACTAACCTCCTTCATGGATTTATTTACAGGTAAGAAGCTGTCTGTAAAACCTTTAAAAGTATTTTTCTTTATAAAATGATATCAGTTATTTAGCCGTGACGTAACCTTTACGTTACCCATCAAGGGATTATGCTAAATCCTGAAGATACAGTCCAAAGATGAACCTTTGATGAAGCATTTATTAACAAAAAAAAATCAGAAATATATTTTTTTATCCTCCAGGATGTCGGTTTTATTCTATCTTTAATGTTAAAGTCGATGTTTGGACCTCATGTCCACACGTTCATTTCCCTGCAGTGACATGAGCTGCACAAACACACACACACACACACATCCTGTCTGCATCCACATGGTGGTGCTGCTGCCTCTAACTTGAGTCAGACCGCCTCGTTTTGAGAAAAGTGAAGTACAAAACTGCTGCATCAAGGCTGCAAATTGCTCTCGTTTCAGGAGAGTCCTCGGAGAGCGGCGAGTGAGGCAATTAGAAATGGATTTCATTTTGGAAAGCCGCGTTCAACGGCGGTGGAGTGCAGATAGTCTCCGGTCCTCAAGGAACAATTCCCTTAATGTCTTCTAGACGAGTGGCCCTGATATCACGGAGGAGGGCGTCTCAGATGTGTGTGTGTGTGTGTGTGGGTGTGTGTGTGGGGGTGTGTGTTCATGTGGTTGTGAAGGTCAGAGGTGTTTGTGTACATATGAGTTGTTTATATCTATAAAAATGCTTTGAACGCTCTGATGCGGGGTTGGTGCTGTTGATAAAGGTTTATGTAATAGTAAATTATCAAATTGTAGCCATAGCAACAGATAAGTCAGAATTTAAGAACAGTTCATTATTGAAACATTCAGACAGGACTTACAGTTGTGTGTTAATCCAGTTTGATACGATTCTTCATCTTATCTGTACAGTATTGTACATATTGGACTTATTCAGCAGTGTCCATCCTGTTTGCCTCATGGCTGTAAAGTAACTGATTACTACTTGTACAGCTTGACACAGGTTCCATATGTTGATTCATTAACATAGTAATGAGCAGCTTTATGTATAACTCTCTGGTATTCCTTTATATAGAAGTAAAAACTGGGGCGCTGGTGGCGCAGTGGTTGGTGCCCCATTGTACAGTATGTCAGCTGTGGTTCTCCAAGTGGGCGGCCCCGGGTTCGAATCCGACCTGTGGCTCCTTTCCCGCACGTCATTCCCCACTCTCTCTCTCTTCCTGATTTCTGAATCTATCCACTGTCCTATCTCTACAATAAAGACGCAAAAAGCCCAAAAATAAATCTTTTAAAGTTAAAAACTGAATGATGCTTTAGTAGCTTAAATTAAGTTGAATTTCTCTAAAGGAACATTTTCTCCACTCAGTGTTGGAAGAACTAATCAGATCTTATACTTCAGTGAAATTAGCAATGAATGCATCAGTTAGAAATGTATTTCACAGATGAATCATAGTAGTTTTAATATTAGCAACAACATGAAAAGTATCCAAATGAGCAGAGCATTGTTTGTCAATGTCCAATCTTTATCCATAGAAGTATGTCATATGTAGAAATATAAGATTAAATATGATGAGCAAGAAGTATATCGTAGCATAGAATAAAAAAAATACACTATTATGTTTTTATATACACTATTTGAATTATTGTCTTCCTCCCTCTTATTGTAGTTCCTATCATCTCTTCTCTATCATGTCACATCCCAGAATCGCAACCTTTACCAAAGAAACACCACATGCGTATTCAAACGTCAGATCACCAAACCCTTTTTTTCAGGATGTACAAAAACATCTGCGCTTCTTCCTCGTGCCTCTCTCACAT